ATATAATATCGATTTTTCTTATCTTACATAAAATCGTAACATATACGAACGTTATTGTCTGATACAAATGTGCATATGTGTCCTTGTTTCCTGTATATTATATTTTCGAACGGACAACTAGATAAAAAAATGTGATAATATTTTTCCAGAAATAACGTTCGCTCGAAAAATCGATTGTTTTTTCAACTTACGTAAAAATGTAATGCATGTAGATATGTATGTATTGCTCGATACACAAAAGTCTCTGTTCAACAACGGCATATAATCGCAATTGCCAGCGATTATGCGAAAGTAAGCTTGTTTTCGAATCGCTTGCGTTTGAGAATCATGTCCTTGGTCGAGTATAGCTCTCTCCTTGATTGCGATGCGCGGCCCACATTTTTATCGACGGAACTGTTTTATTTTTAGGAATTCGCGACAAAATACCGAGACGAAAGCGGTGCTTTTGTTATGCAAATCGAACGAGTGCGATTCTGTCCCCCGGTTCTCATGCAGTACTTATATAAATCGCTACTTTTATTATAGAATGCTCTGACGTAATTATCGATACAATCTCTGCAGTTGACGCATCAATGGACTAGCTTGAATGAACTTCAACTTTGAAAATAAGAGAGAGAAAGGGGGGAGAGAGAGAGAGACTGACTCGAGATTTTCTTGTTGAAAAACCCGTTTGGAGAAATAAAAAAATTTGGAAAACGATTTATTATTCAACTCTTTTTTTTACTTGGAACGTGCGTTTTAAGGACGTTCATACGGTAATCGTGAGTCAAATGAGAACTATCAAACTTTACAAATTTTGTTTACAATTTGTTAATTGTTTAAAAATATTTCAATAATTTTAAAATAATTTATTAAGTTTTTTTGACTTATTAAAATTATTTGTTGATTAAATATCGCAAAAAACTAAAATAATAACTAAAAATTAATTTGACATAAAAATGACATGAATAATAATAAAAGTAATTATTACAACGTTAGAAATAATCATGGAATTTTAGAAGGAAAATTTGTTTTTCAAAAACGAAAATTGTGGCGAGATAATCAGTTACAAAGTGTTAAAAAAATAAAAACTTGTGATTTATCAGTTTCATCACCGGCACCTAACCTCTCTAACCTGTCAGGTAGACGAGTAGTACAGTAGTAGTACTAATTATAATTGTTAATAAATAATTTAAACGTACGATAACACCTTTTTTTATGATAATAATATTATGTATATGATTCAAAGGATATTTCAAAACATTATTTGTCATCGTATCTATTCTAATATTATTTTCATAAATTTGAAACATAAAAAGTTATGATTTTTCATAACAGCCTATGTTAAAAAAAAGATTTTTCATCGTTAATAACTTTTTTTAATGATCGATAACATACCACGAATTTTGTAAGAGCGATCATAATTATTATTCTTGCTAAATATCAAAGATTTGAATTTTTATCTAATAATAAGCTTAACGCCCGAACGTCCTTAAACTAGCGCCAGACTATGCGCGTTTTCGCGAATCATGATGCGTGATTTGTGATTCGTATAACATTCGCGAATAATGTGGAGGGAAAATTCGTCGATTCGTCATGCGCGATTCGTCATTCGCACTGATTCATTAACCGAGCGGTTTTTTGATGAAACTCAAAGGAGACGAATCGTTACGAATTAATCCATTCGTGTCGCGCTACACTATATGCGTAACTAGTTCGTGTTTCTCTTTGATAGGTTATTGCATCAATTATAATGAAGAGCTGGACAAATAATCGCGTGCTTGAACTTGTAGAAGACATAAAGGTACCTTTTCATGTGTCGCTCGTTTTGAGCGATGAAAAAGTCACGTGACTAAATTGTCGCTAGTGACTAGCTATTGAGCATGAAATGGGCTCCAGCAGCGATTTAGAAAGAAAAGTTGCGTTAAGACACGCATAGTATAAAATAAATATAAACAATGTTACAAGTAAGAAAATATTATAATTGGATGATTGAGTGCACAAAAATTATAAATGAAAATAATATAAAGCAGAACAATATGAAGAAAAGATTAGCAGTAGCGGCAGTTCTTTATTATTTAGAAAAAAAAAAGAAACGACGATACAAAAAAAAAGTTTTTGGGTTAATCCATTGTTTCAAATAAGAGATAAAAGTGGATTTTATAATGCATTTTTTTATATAAAATTTATAAATATAAACATTCTACCTAATACAGGATAAAAATAATTACATTATTATTAAATTATACATTATTATTTAATTATAAAATATTATTATTATATATATTTAATATTTATTACAAAATTATATACTTACTCTTTCATTCATAATTGATCCATTTGAGTGTTAAAATTTCAAAATTATCGTTCGTGAATGTCGCTTGTAGTTGGAAAAATCCAACTACAGAATCCCGTCGCTGGCGACTACGTGACATCATTATGTCGCTAAAATCTAGTGATAGAGTGATGTATGAAATGGCACCTTAAGAGAACATAGATGTTTATGGAATCCAAAAGATAAATATCATAAAAAAAACTGGTCGAAGTAACGCGAACTAAGAAAATATGAATTACGAATTACGAATGATATATAGCGAATCGCGAATAGTGTGGAAAGTTTACATTGACAAATAACGAATCTCCCTGAATGTCCAACGAATTTTTATGAATCACGAATTAGGCCCATTCTATAATGAGTCGTAAGTCGTAAGTCGTAGGCAAATTGACCAATCACGGTTGATTATTTCAAAAATAATCAATCATGATTGATCAATTTGCCTACGACTTACGACTTACGACTCATTGTAGAACGGGCCTTACGAATCGGAAATTACGAATCGCGCATAGTCTGGCGCTAACTTAACTAGTTCGTGTTTCTCTTTGATAGGTTATTGCATCAATTATAATGAAGAAAGAGACAGTGGAGAGTTGGACAAATAATCGCGTGCTTGAACTTGTAGAAGACATAAGAGAACATAGATGTTTATGGGATCCAAAAGATAAATATCATAAAAAAACTGGAAGTAACGCGAACTAAGAAACTACGAATTACGAATTATGAATAATATATAGCGAATCGCGAATAGTGTGGAAGGTTTACACTGACGAATAACTATCTAGGGATGGGCGATGTTTACTGATTAATCGCAATGGTCGATAGTTTTTTTTCTAATAACACAGGTCAACAAGATTTTATCACAAAAGAAGTAAAAGGTGTACCCGAAGGAATTTGGTGCGCTGAATCCAAATCTAGCCTAAAAATGACGCCATCACGTCAGGATTTTGAGATATTCTAACCTAAAAGTGCAAAAATGGCTGTTTTAAGGCATTATTGAAGTTCACTCCCGGTTGCATAGAATTTTACCGACAAAAATTAAACAATGTACCGTAAAGTATGATTCTTGCCCTTTAATTTCCATTTTTAAACGTCCAAATAGGAGTTTTTTTCACCGAGATACATTGGATATAAGTTTTTACTGCATACAGAAAATCACATAGGATGTTGGTTCATTTGAAATACCTTAACTTTTTTGGTTTTGAGTAATTCTGGAAAAAAGAGTTTGTAGTTCAAAGGGTTCCGAGGGTCGCTGCTCACGAATCTGGGCTCAGATTTCCAAAATTCAAGATGACGGATTCAATATGGCGGACGTAGATCTAAAAAATTTAAAATTAAAAAATAAAAAAATACTTTGGTACTCTGCGTTAACTTTTAAATCTAAAAGGTTTCTTTGAACTACAAACTCTTTTTTCCAGAATTACTCAAAACCAAAAAAGTTAAGGTATTTCAAATGAACCAACATGCTATGTGATTTTCTGTATGCAGTAAAAACTTAAATCCAATGTATCTCGGTGAAAAAAACTCCTATTTGGACGTTTAAAAATGGAAATTAAAGGGCAAGAATCATACTTTACGGTACATTGTTTAATTTTTGTCGGTAAAATTCTATGCAACCGGGAGTGAACTTCAATAATGCCTTAAAACAGCCATTTTTGCATTTTTAGGTTAGAATATCTCAAAATCCTGATGTGATGGCGCCATTTTTAGGCCAGATTTGGATTCAGCGTACCAAATTCCTTCGGAAATCAATATAAATTTTCATGTGATAAAAAATACCCTTTAATTTGTAGACCTGTGTAATTAATCGGTTCGATATTTTCCTTATCCGATGTATCAATATTCGATTCTTTATGTCAGACATCAAAGTTTTATTTTTTTTTATCAAAATATCTCATTATAATAAAGCGTCGTCTACAATGAGATTTTTAAAGGTAAAGATTTAATCTATAGTATCTATAATATAATCTCAAAATTGTTAATATCATCTTATATTAAACTTACCAAACTTTTTTATAATGATTTTACAAAGAAATTCATAAAAATGCAAATTGTAATTTTACAAACCAAATATTTGCTTCCACTTACAAATTAAATAGTAATTTTATATTTAAGAAAGCTAAAAGTACTTTGCGCAATGTCAGATTTATGAATTAAAGTGTATTAGATGTATTAACTTTTGATATGGATGATTCGTGTAATTCCTCCTTAAAAAACACTTTTTTTGAAAAATAGTCGATTCATCGATTCTTTTTATTAATAATCGATTAATCAACATCGATATATTCAAAAATCGATTAATTTAGCATCGATTTTTTTTTCGTACATCGCCCATTCCTAAACGAATCTTCCTGAATGTCCAACGAATTTCTATGAATCACGAATTACGAATCACGAATTACGAATCGCGCATAATAGTCTGGCGCTAGCTTTACTCGTGAAACGTAACTCCTACATTTAATAACTAGTTGTTGCATCAAGTCAGCTGGACGAATGTCGCACGTCCTCTTTCTGGGTCAACGACCGCGTTGCATATGACGCACGTCAGGCAGAAATGGTAGAGAGAGAGTGCGGCAGGTTAGGTTAGGATTGAAACAGCTGATACGAAAACAAAGGATTCGCGCTCGCTTTCCGTTAAGAAGAGAGATAAAAGTGTAATCGATAAAGAGTATGACATGATTTTCAGCTGAATGAGGCTGATGGAACCCTTGGGTGTCGCCCAGGACATCGTGGAGCCGGCTGCGTTAAAACGATGGGCCGACTATCCCATCCAACATCGATTCACGGACTATTCCGGGTCGATCAGAGAAACGGCGCATCACGCTATAAGTCCCTTCCCTTGTCAACCAGTGCTTAACAACAAGCTCACGCTATGGTAAGACATTATCTGGCATTCGGACTTTTAATTCTACATCTCTCTAGGAGTGTTCTTTGTGTGTCAAATAATTTTATTAGTAATCAATTCAGAGCATTTAATATGATTGCATTGTAATATGATTGCGCATAATATTAAGATAACATGAATTGTTTCAGGACTGGAGATATCTCAATATTACAAGTAGACGCGATAGTGAATTCTACCAACGAGACGATGGACGATAATAGTCCTATGTGCCAAAGAATATTTAGTCGAGCTGGTTCTGCGCTTAAGATAGAAATATATAATGAAGTAAAAGGTAGTATAATAGTTATACTATATGTATACAACAGTAGCATTTATCTCAATCTCTGTCAAAATATTGCAGAATGCAGAACTGGCGAAGTAAGAGTAACACAGGGTCATGGATTACCTGCTCGTTTTATTATTCATACTGTTGGACCAGTTTATAATGTCAAGTATCAAACAGCTGCGCAAAATACATTATATTGTTGCTATAGGTAATTTACATATATTCATAGCACTTATTTATATACAAGCATTGTCTTATTTTTGCACATTGATGTTATTAATATAGAAAAAATAATTTATTACTTATTTATTTTTTAGAATCAAGAAACAAATTCTGACAAGAAAAAATGTTAAATAATAAAACCTTATAATCTTGTAATTTTGTTTTCTTGTCGTAGAAACGTCTTACAAAAGGCAAAAGAACTAGGATTGCGCACCATTGCTCTACCGGTAATAAATTCTGTGCGGAGAAATTATCCACCGGATGCAGGAGCACATATAGCTCTTAGTAAATATAAATAGACAAATAAGTACAATTTATATAGACAAAAAATTCACAATATGCAGTCTGCAATATGCAATAAATTATTTTTTTCTTTGTAGGAACCGTACGCAGATTTATGGAGCAATATAGTGATTCGTTAACATGTATTATATTTGTACTTGAGCCTTGCGACCTTGGAATATATGAAATTCTTCTGCCACTTTATTTTCCGCGAAATCTGGCAGAGCAGGATAACGCTTGTTGGCAATTGCCGAATGATATTGGTGGAACGGACGGAGAACCTTTACTCCCAGATAGACAAATCAGAATTATTGACAATCCTCAGCACACTTTGCATGGTAATAAAGAATTTTATAAAATGTTACTATATATATGGTTTAAGCAATCCTTTTTTTGAAAAACATATTGCGTTTATAGGTGATGAAACAGTTGAGCTTTCTGCACAATTAGAGACTTCTGTGAATATTGGTGAACATGCCTTTGCACAAATGCAAGGAGATTTGGATCGCCAGAGACTTCTGGGAGAGAGACCCCCTGCTGATCCATTAGCAGATATTATGCTTAAACAAATGCAACAAAAAGAAAGGTATGAATTTATATAAATTATTTTAATAATGTTACTAAAATTCTTCAAATAATATATATATATATATATATATATATATATATATATATATATTATAATATTTATATTACTTTTATACAAAAAGGATTAATTTTGTAATTATAAATGAATACTAAAATATGAATGATTGATATGATGATTCATTTAAACTAAAAGAATGACAAGTCTATTCTTATAAAACAAATCTTATAAATTAAATTAAAACAATGTAAATTAATAATAAGATAACTGTTAGCACTTTGAAATAAAATAATATCTCTTATTCATTAGACAATGTTGTTCGAAAAATAATTTGTTTTGTATTAAATGAGTAAATGATTGCATTTGGCACTATATATTTATCATTAATGTTTTCTGTTATACCATTAATAGAATCCTGCAGATTTTGTTGCACGCCATTTTTCAAATTAAATTTGCTTATGCTTCAGAAATATAAATATAAACTCTGTGCTCATCGTTTATATATTCCGTCTTAAATATTCTAAAAAAAAGGAAAAAAAAACATTAAATTATTTTCTGTTTTTGTCCTTTAGATGCACAACTAGCTATTATAAATTAAAAGTTATGATATCCATAAATATTAAGAGATGAGAAAATATTGAAGTTGATGCAATACAAAAAATTCAATATATAATTTTTCGGTTCTGATATAATCCAATATGATTGAAGTAAAGAATTAAAATATAAATATATTATAAATGTGTGTGTGTGTGCGTGTGTGTTTATTTTAATGAATAAGAATATTTTAAATATTTTTCTTCTCTATCGTTTCTTCTCCAACGTTTCTATTTTCTATATATTTTAAAATGTTGCTAAATGTTCTATATAGTTTAAAATGTTAAAATATTTATGTGTATCAAATGTATTTAAAAAATGATTTATTTAATTAACAAATCATTTTTTTGAAATACATTTGACACATAAGTACAATATTTTAAAATTTATAGAAAATAGATAGAATCATGATAAGAGACATTTACAATTGAAAGCTAATAGTGGATTACTAGAAAATATTTTAAAAAATTGTACAATTGCAAAATTGTTTTCTTGTCAAATGCAGCAAATCTTACCGAGTTTTGATTCAATAATAATACGTTTTTTCGTTCTCTCTTTACTTATGCAACATAATGAACATTAATAATGTATTTGTGCAGAATAACTATCTTTTCTACGGATAAAGCTTTAATATTATCATATATGACATTAACAGATTTCTCCTATATCGACAAATATCAAAATGAAAATTACGTTTTACCCACGCATATAAAATGAATCGAGATCTTAACAGCAAAACTACTTGTTTAATTTAATTTCACAAATTCATAAATATTCATAAATGTTGAAAATGATTTAATACATCAAAATTATGCAGAGTCTCTCGCTTGCACAGTATATCTCTTACACAAATTAGACAATATATTAACTACAAATTAACATACACATATACATGTACTTTTTGATTTATTAATCATTAACGATTTTAATCAGTGTCTATTGATGTATTATTATTGTATAATTAATAATGTTTGTCAATATTTGTTATTATTTAATAAGATAAAATGTAGATAATAAGATGAATTATTCTTCAAAAGAAGTAAAATTAAATAAAATACATAAAAAGTTTTTCTCATAGTCAACGTTAACGTGCAATAAGTTATAAATAATTATTGATTATTTTTGCTATTATATAATGTATATTCGATAACGATATCATATATGATCATATATAATCATATTAATCATCGTCTATTGACTTTCGTATGACGAAGTTTACCTCGTAAAATCTCTTTCTAATTAATATCAAGCCCGAAATATCTCCTGCGTCACGAAAATAAATCATTCGTATAAGTCTGACGTTTCTGTTGCATTAAATGTTTATTTCTAGATCGAGATTGTCACCGTCTATCATTTTATATCATGACAGCTTCGCTTTATCACGTGGAACAAAAATCCCACGCGTGACTAGAACCATGTACGAGCAATAATGAATCTTCTTTTCGCAGCAAAACTATGACAATCAACTTGCTTTCCTAAAATAGCAATCGATATCCTTCATACTAAAAAAACATTACTAACGTATATGGTATATTGACACAAATAATCTTACGAATTATGATCGATACAACATTGGACTTAATAAAAATTTTACTTACACTATTATCATATATATATATATATATATATATATATATATATATATATATATATATTTGGTGTTTAAAAACACATGTTTTATTTTCGCAATTTGTCCAAATGTATATTTATGAGAGAATGTCGTTATTTCATGGTCTCGAAAGACCTTGTATCTGTTTAATCGAGGTCAAAATCATACGAAATTGCAATTTCAATCAAGAACATGATTTTTTAGACTGCGCGATCATAATCATATGTAATATTAGTGTCTTTGTAAGTTATCTAATTCTTCCTTGGGAAGGACGATTTAGGAAGCAATACATCATTGTATTGCATATGTTACTTTATCTCTTTCTCTCTCTCTCTTTTTTAACAGACTATCAATTTGATTATTAATTCGATTAATATATCAAGACCATTAGAGTAATTTTTTTTTTAATTCTATGAAATGTAATGCAAATTATAATGACGCGTTATTTGAGTGTCATTCTATTTATGTGGGATTTTTTAAAATTTTGTAAAATATGCCGATTGCTTCCACAAGTCTGTAAAGCATGCGATTCTATTTTTGATCGAAAATAATCTTGAACACACCCGGATGTTCCTACTACGCATAAGTTTCAGCGAAACACTAATTTATCGAGAATTGTCGAAATTTCTTAGTTTACATTCGCAAATTATATTCTTTTGTTACATTTATGTGAATATTTTAATTAAATGACCTTATTAATATTTGTTTTTATTTTATTTAGACCTTATTTATTAGCTCGTATATTTGGCCCTACAAATTTTTATTATTGCGTTGCAACACACGAGCATTATTAACGTTATTATTGTTTTAAATTTAGTTCATATTCTTTTTTTCTTTTACTATATTCTTTTTTCTTTTACTATATTCTTTTTTCTTTTATTATATTATTTTTTCTTTACCTTGGTTATAAAGTAAAATAATTTTTATGTCAAAATAATATTACAACACCTTGCACGAAACGATCTGTTACACAAGAGTATCTGAAGGAAAAATTATTCTTTTGAAACACGCATGCAAATAAGAATTTAAAATACGATCGAGATACGATTATATACGCGGGCATTTAAGTTTAATAGACTGTCTAATCTCCAAGTTTCTCAAGTATGATCTGACAATGATCGAATGTTGTTTATCGAAGTGGAAATGTTATTCCACACTTTGGATCGACCTTCATAGCTGTTTGGCCGAAAAGACATGATCGGTTATTAAAAGAAAGCCCTCCAAGAAAAGTCTACTATTCATATCGAAACAGCTGTTCCGCGTCTAATTCGAATAAGATATTTACTACAAAATTACGCCGAATCGAGATCGAATAAGAGCATAGCTATAAAATCTATTCGACAACGGAAAGTGGAAATTGATCGGTTCATGCGTAAATAATACGTGACAGGTAACGCATACTTTTTTAAATTTCAATTTTTTAAATAATAAAGGTATAAGACTCGAAATATAAAATTAACAAATTAGTTTCGATAACAATACGAGTCGAGCGTCGATGTTATGACACATTTATTTATTTATTATACAATAAAAGGCATGAAACAATAATAATACGTAGCGCATACTTTTTTAAATTTCAATTTTTTAAATAATAAAGGTATAAGACTCGAAATATAAAATTAACAAATTAGTTTCGATAGTAATACGAGTCGAGCGTCGATGTTATGACACATTTATTTATTTATTATACAATAAAAGGCATGAAACAATAATAATACGTAGCGCATACATTTTTAAATTTCAATTTTTTAAATAATAAAGGTATAAGACTCGAAATATAAAATTAACAAATTAGTTTCGATAGTAATACGAGTCGAGCGTCGATGTTATGACACATTTATTTATTTATTATACAATAAAAGGCATGAAACAATAATAATACGTAGCGCATACATTTTTAAATTTCAATTTTTTAAATAATAAAGGTATAAGACTCGAAATATAAAATTAACAAATTAGTTTCGATAGCAATACGAGTCGAGCGTCGATGTTATGACACATTTATTTATTTATTATACAATAAAAGGCATGAAACAATAATAATACGTAGCGCATACATTTTTAAATTTCAATTTTTTAAATAATAAAGGTATAAGACTCGAAATATAAAATTAACAAATTAGTTTCGATAGTAATACGAGTCGAGCGTCGATGTTATGACACATTTATTTATTTATTATACAATAAAAGGCATGAAACAATAATAATACGTAGCGCATACTTTTTTAAATTTCAATTTTTTAAATAATAAAGGTATAAGACTCGAAATATAAAATTAACAAATTAGTTTCGATAGCAATACGAGTCGAGCGTCGATGTTATGACACATTTATTTATTTATTATACAATAAAAGGCATGAGACAATAATAATACGTAGCGCATACTTTTTTAAATTTCAATTTTTTAAATAATAAAGGTATAAGACTCGAAATATAAAATTAACAAATTAGTTTCGATAGCAATACGAGTCGAGCGTCGATGTTATGACACATTTATTTATTTATTATACAATAAAAGGCATGAGACAATAATAATACGTAGCGCATACTTTTTTAAATTTCAATTTTTTAAATAATAAAGGTATAAGACTCGAAATATAAAATTAACAAATTAGTTTCGATAGCAATACGAGTCGAGCGTCGATGTTATGACACATTTATTTATTTATTATACAATAAAAGGCATGAGACAATAATAATACGTAGCGCATACTTTTTTAAATTTCAATTTTTTAAATAATAAAGGTATAAGACTCGAAATATAAAATTAACAAATTAGTTTCGATAGCAATACGAGTCGAGCGTCGATGTTATGACACATTTATTTATTTATTATACAATAAAAGGCATGAGACAATAATAATACGTAGCGCATACTTTTTTAAATTTCAATTTTTTAAATAATAAAGGTATAAGACTCGAAATATAAAATTAACAAATTAGTTTCGATAGCAATACGAGTCGAGCGTCGATGTTATGACACATTTATTTATTTATTATACAATAAAAGGCATGAGACAAATAAAAATAAAAGAAGGAATAGCGAACGTTTCGATCCTATTTTTGAGTCATCTTCAGCGCAAATGTGATGATGTGGTAAAAATATAACAAAGGGGTTAGATATCTGAATCGATGAGAAAGGATACCGTCTAAAGTAATACTATTTTCAATTTTTTATTTCAAAATGACAATTTCCTGCGCATTGTTTTTTTCTCGTAAAACGTACCTACGTTGTATGTAAATCTATCCAACGATTAAATGCAAGGAAATCGAGATAGCGCGCGTTTCTCATCCTGTTTCTCTTCTATTCGGTTTTTTACGAAAAAGCGTCACGAAGAAAATGACACACGTTGACAGGCTCAAGGCTATCGGGTAGCATTAGCCGTAATTAAAGAATACACAGTGATTTCCCGAATTAATAACGGGTTCTCGCGGGATCCCTACTCCACGTCTAACGTACGCGCATCGAGCACGCAGTTTAGCAAGCCGGGCAGGCGCCGTACGTGCCTCGGGCAGGACTCGACTTAACTCAGCGTCGTGCGGGAGACCCGGCCGTCGTAGCCGTCATCGTGATCGTGGCCGTTGTGGACGTCGCAGAGGACGTCGAGAGGTGATTTCTCGTCGAAGTAAGACGCTCCGGTTCGATCAGTTCATCGCGAGACGTCATACCGTTCCCGTCTTTCGACACTGTCGACACTATCGACGCTTCCTCCCCCACGGGCTTCTCGACACTCGAGATCAAGCGACTGGAACGCGTTCTAAAGGGTGCTTTGTTATTTTTTTTTTTTAAACGGATGTCGCGGTTAAAGAGCTATTAGTGCATCCGATCGCGCATTCTTTCGTCGGTTTTTAATCAAGGCAAGACGGGAGAGCGCACGATCCAAGGAAACATCACATCAGAATGGTCATGATTGATATGGTGGATGTCATCGAGGATGAGGACCGGTGTGTAACTTAAGGATGCTTTATCTAAGGATGCTGTATGTACAATCCCAGCAAAGAGTAGCTGAAAATCAATATTGATGAATATATCCACTTTTGGTATATTTTGAATAAGAAATTGTGTGGAATATTAATATAATTTGATCTTAGCTATAGTGCAGAAATGTATAATATTTTTTAATATTTATTGCGTTTTTACTGAAATATTCCGAATTTTGTTAATCGAAATGATTAACTTTTGTCAGAGAATTTCCTCTTGTGACAGATACATGGCTAACTTTATTGAACTATATTTAATATCTTTTTACCAAGTTAGTACTTGTATAATATTATTTGATCAAATATTTCCTCTGTATCTAAATTACACTTTTGCAAATTTTAAACAAATTTTGAATATTATTTCCATGTGTTTTTGTCATTTGAATCGACGTGGTTATACGTTTCCCATAAGAACACATGTTAATTCGATGCAAATTAAAATCCTTATAACTTGTGAACGCTTTAGTGAATCGATTTAAAAATTGTACTGAAGATTCTAAACATATGTAAGGACATTCTGTACAATTTTTATTAAATTCTCAATATTTTGAAAGGTACGAAACATCCTTAAAGCGCTTTAATGTCGATATTTTGCGATCAGGCACGCTAATTGGAACGAAATCAGTGTCTCGTTATCGGTTCACTATTGATCTTTGCTGTTATTGGCGTGCGTCCAGAGAATATATTTTATATTTTAGATCGATCGTCGTCAAGGAATACATTAAAGTTGATCGTCTGATCGATTTAGAATCAGAAAATTCGTATACGATATATTGAATTCGTCAATTTATTACGCATTCGATGATTTCGGAGAAAGAAGCTAAAAAATAATCACGAAAATAATAATGAATCGGTATATTATTTGCCAGTGATTGAAATTTTATTAGTACGATATAACGTACCGTGGATAGGCTGTCAAAGAAAAATTACAAGCATAGTTTTAAACACACAACGTATATTTTAAAGACTTTATACCACCTATAGGTATACGCTATCGTCAAATTCGTGACAATACATGATATACTTATTTGCGATAAACCACATCTGGAAAATTTATCTGTGAAATATGTATTACAGACTTGTGTTTTTATGCATGCATCGTCATTTGCGTTTTATGTTATGTAAAACAACACGTTCCTTTTTTTTGCAATTAAAGCTACGTGGCAATCCTGAAATTGGAGCGACATTTCAACATGTTCATTATGCCGCATCTTTTTCACTTCAATCTTCCACGTAACGTAAATTTTTCATGGCGTTTTTTTAAATATTTAACATTATGTCGCATGTTAAAATAAATCTAGATCTACTTGTATCGAATAGCTCGATAAATTGTTGTGCTACATATCAGGAAAAGTGGAGTTCCGGCAATACAATTAGCCGGAAATTTCGAAGAAAATTTGCTCAATAATATTCACCACAAATGCGTGATCGTGAAACTGAATTAGACCGACCGATTTAAAATAAAATCATATATATTCATAGCCGATGATTCATATACCAGAACGCTTGGCATTACAAGGTGGAAATTTATCTTGACTTTAGATACGAAAGGCTCCTCAGGAGGGCGAAGACGGAGGACTTGACCGAGGTCTCGGGGATTGGTTGTCTCTATCAGAGCGGCGTGGACCGACAAGGTCGACCGGTAGTTGTTTTCGTTGGCAAATGGTTTCCCGCCACGAAAATCAATCTAGATAAGGTAAGGATTTTCATCAAGGCTCAATGTTGTCGATTAACGAAATATATACAAGAAATACATTGTTTGCGCAACATTATGATAAAAGTATCATCGAGCTCGTTCATATAGGGCCTGAGCATAATGATTGACTTATAACCTTAAGACACTGTTTTATGCTCTAAGTCTTTATCTTAGGCCGGGTCTACAATAGATAATTTAAGCCCTAAGCCTTAAGAAATTGACCAATCACAGTCGACTATTCTCTTCATACTTGTACTGTAATTGGTCAATCTCTTAAGGCTTAAGGCTTAAATTACCTATTGTAGACCCGGTCTTAGGTAACGCACAATACTATGTTATGTCTCTTAAGGTTATAAGTCAGCCATGCTCAGGCCCATATTAAGATAAATCGAATAATGAACAGCTGACTTTGGGAACATAATCGCTTGAATTGATATTTTTCATAAAACAATCATAGTTATGCGTATGTCCTCGTAAATCTCACATTATATGACATACATAGTTCTCGAGCGTAATTGCAAGTTGTTTCGTTACAATGTACATCATTTTCCTATAGCCATTCTTGTCTATTCCTTACAATTTGCAATCGATTTGTTTGGAATATTTCTTACGTGGTAGTGAAAATGTTTTATAAAATACTCTTCCGGTGAAATTATTCCTGATTTAAATGCTCTTGCATATTTAAACTGTATTATCGTGTAACATTGTAATTGCGATATATTTTTAAGCGATCTTAATTAAATGAATATAACTCGTTTCATGCTTTTCCTTACTTTTAATGCTGAAATATACAAAAAAAAAATATACTATATTAATATATAGAATTATTAAAAATGTCAGACTCACGAATATAAAATTAAATATATAAATTGGTACAAATGGCAATATGAGTCTAGTGTCGATATTGTTATACCGTTATTTATTATTTATATAAAGAATCATATAAAAACATTCATTTAATAAATATACATATGAGTGGATTGCGAACGTTTCGACCCTATTTTTGGGTCATCTTCAGGACAAATATGAACGGAATAAATAATAATAATACGGTAATTGTTACATATATTATATTAATATAATCAGAAAAAGTAGAGTCTCCAAAGATTGAGACACTATATTTTTTACTGACTTTTTTCGAGATCGATATAGCAGAATTTGCTTCATGGATACGAAATTTTGTCGTCCTTAGAAAATAAAAATCCTCTTGTTAATTAAATTAAACATTGGGCGTGGCTTCTCGAAAAAGTCATTATGAGAAAAGCGCCTCGATTACATTGAAATTGCGTGTGCCACTTTCCTCTATATACTTTTTCTTGGAGATTATACTCGACATGTACATCGTACCACGGGAAACCACCGACTCGCGCGCATGTCGCTCGTGCTCGATATCTCGTATTGTCTCGGACGCGAAAGAATAGTCTTCCAGGCAGGCCGGCCCTCGATCATTTGGCATCCATCTTCGCTCCGCTTTTGTGCCGTTTCCCTTCCCCGTCGAACTCATTCTTACCGCTCCGCTCATAGCCGGCATACAGCCGGAGATTATATAGCGGCGGGTGGCGAATCGATATTTATACGTCCAGAAATAGATCGACCGCGGAACGAGTCCCCCCATAGGGAGGGCGCGCGCGGATTGCAGCGTCGTCGCGACGCGCACCCCCATCCTCAATGAGACTTCATCAACCCATTTGCGTCGGCGAGTGTGCTGCGTGCGACAAGCACATTATCTGCATGTAATAGTCAGGGTAATTAACAGAGAGATAGACAAATGATTGTCAACGTCTTTTCCTCGAAGCCATTTCTTTTCTCGTGATTTTCTTTCTCATGCACAGAAAAAAAATAAGTGTCGAATCAAAACTTATATACTTAAATTAACGCGTTCATTGTTTCATATATACGCAACAATTTATAATCTTCTTAGAAGAATTTAATAATTTAAAATTTCAACAATATTACAATCTTATTTTAATATTATAATTGTCATCTCAAGAATATACAGGGTGTCCCAAAACTCATAATCAATCTTTCAAAGACAGATTCCTGGGATCATCTGAAGACGATTTTTCCTCAACAAAAATGTCGAGGCACTAATAATTTTTGAATTATAAGTGATTGAAAATAAGGGGTTTTTCGTAAATTAAGCTTTGCAGAAATAAAATATTAACAAAACCACATTCTTCGATTAATTTTAAATAGAGTTTACTTTAGTTGAGTTTTAATTTAAGGCTTAATTGCAAAGATATATGATGACAAAAATCGGGAACATGCAAAAAATGATTCCTTCATCGACATTTTCGCTGAGGAAAAATCGTCTCCAAATGATCCCAAGAATTTGTCTTTGAAAGATTGATTATGAGTTTTGGGACACCCTGTATAATATTTAATTCTACTTTAAGAAAATTATAATCTTTGATTTAAAAATGTTATTTTCTATCTAACATTGTTTCTTTTCCATTCAAGAAAATTAAATCTTAAATCGTAAGAATATACTTTTCTCGATTGAACTATATAAAATGGCTTCATTCAAGTAAGCAATTATATTTTTCTTTAATTAACGCAATATAATCATATTTCAAGATTTCTATGTTAAAACTAAATATATTTTCGAAACAAGAATATCCTTTTTTTTGGCGAAGGGAAATTGTTGTTGGCTTTTTTTAATACTAATTTTGTGACTTTTGTTGAAAGATGAATTTAAAAAATGTAGTTTATTTCTTTCTTCTCGCAACGTATAATCCTGATTTGATGATAATTTTTTTTTACTCATATTTTCAATATCACTTTTCGTTTTATCGACGGTATTGCAGATGTTTGGAGCATTCGAAAAATAAATATTTCATATCACTATAATTAATTATTTGTGTTTTGACGTATTGAGTATTAAAACAAATATATTTAAAATCCTTATAAAAAAATATTTTTTGAAATTTATAAAGAGAAGTTTGAACAATACCCGACGAATATAATTCCGGTATAACTCGTAGCTTTTAAACAGTTTTTTATTGAGCGGAAAAAACGATCTACATTTCTGGTACAAAAGTAACTTCGTAAATCATTCCTATGTACATCGAGATATCATAAATGCCTTGACAAGCGCTTCTTCAAGCAACGTATTCACGTTTTTTTTCATCCGCCTTATGCGTCTTTAATATCTTTTTCGTAAGAAAGAAAGATTTTTATTATTTTATTTTTTTTTAATTTTAATTTTGCCGATTACGAGTCGCGAGATCATCGGCTTAGAATGTCTTCCTACTTCGAATTTCAAGATAGGAATATCAACAACATGTAGCGTAGTAGTTTAGCTAAAAATATACACCATCATGCACAGCAACTGCTGACATAATGTTATATGCATAATGTTTGAGGCGCGTGCTCTAAGGCCAAAAAATTTGTGAGATGCCATTCGCTATTGAAATCTCTTGAATCTGTCAATTTAGAATATTCGAGAGCATTTTAATCTCTTTCTCTTCTCCCTGTTTATCTTATATCCGTTGACCTATTTTTGAGAACCATTTACGCTCAGTCGGGAAGCTAATTACACAGCGACCTGAGATAACGTGCCTCTAGGGTAATACAGATAGTGATATGTTTTGCAATTTATGTTGAGACAACGCCCGATGTTATTTTCATTTGGAGCGATTTCATTCTTGTGTACCAACTATCTTCTACCAACTAACGCTGGATAATGGAAGCTCTAAGAGTTTGAAACATTTTCTTGAAGTCTTTTGCAAAATAATAACAAAGAGTGCGCAATATTGCTGCACGCATTACATAATACCATCATTCGATCAATCATAATCGGACACGCGTAGTTGAATCGCGTGAGGATATATTCACGAAATGACTCCGATCTAATCCACTGCTGTGGCTATCAATCATATCCTTTTTATCGTATAATTCGATTAGTATAGTCTATAATTTGTATAATCTTATTTTTTGATGAAGGTAAAAAAGAATTCGTGAAATAATATTTTAAAGATACAGTCGTATATAATAATTTTGTAACCGTCTATCATGGAATCTAATTGAAGTAGGGAATATTTCAAAACATTAACGTTCTTTTTTTATGTCAACTTAATAAAAACAATTAGCTTCGAATCAAGATTTCTGTAAAATTATGTAAGATTTAAATAGAAAGGAAAGAAAATTATAGATTTTTAAGAAAAATATAAATTTTACACAATTTTGAACCAACACAAAACTGCCTTATCATGTAGCCTAAATTTCTTACTTTGCGTGTTGTCGAGCTTACGCTCGCTCGTCACCGCTCGAGTTCATCGATCGCATGAAACATCGTCCTCGAATCTTCAACGTCTCTCATAAAGGTAGGTGAGTGAAGTCGCGACGTAAGTCCTTTCGATGGAATTGGCAGGAAAATTTATTTATACGTTCGACGACATAGAAAAGCCTCGCCAAATACCTTGCCTACATTTCATCGATCTCGAAAATATTTACGTAGCGTTTATTTTAGGACGTGTATTTACCTCTTGTTTACTTTGGCAGCATATTTTTTACGCAGTAGGAATTTTATATATTTTACCTTAATAAGATTTTTAAAGGATTTTTAAAGAATTATTATATACAGGGTGGGCCATTTTAAGTGATCCACTCAAATATTTCGGAAAATAATGAAAAATGTTTCAGATAAAAGTTGTATGGCTTGAAGGGGACCATCAGATAGTGGCAATAATTTGACCTTGGAGAGTCATTTGAAGATGACGTAAAGGTAACCTTCAATTTCTTAAATGGACTCCCTATTTTTTATTACATATTCGTGTAGCTTATCTCGAGAGCTTTCCAAAACACTATAATAAAGTATTTCTTCATTGAGTACTTTTCGAGTTATGAGGCTTGAAATCATTTCTTAATTTTGTATAAACCGTAAAATATCTAGTAAAATATTCATTTTTCGATTATCTTGCTTTAATACTTTTATGTACAAAATAATGAGAGAAATCAATTGGTGTAAAAAAGACACATAGTTGTTTCAAAGAAAAAATATGTAATTGTTAATTGCAAATTACATATTTTTTCTTAAAAATAACTATGTGTTTTCTTTACACCAATTGATTTCTCTCATTATTTTGTACATAAAAGTATTAAAGCAAGATAATCGAAAAATGAATATTTTACTAGATATTTTACGGTTTATACAAAATTAAGAAATGATTTCAAGCCTCATAACTCGAAAAGTACTCAATGCAGAAATACTTTATTATAGTGTTTTGGAAAGCTCTCGAGATAAGCTACACGAATATGTAATAAAAAATAGGGAGTTCCATTTAAGAAATTGAAGGTTACCTTTACGTCATCTTCAAATGACTCTCCAAGGTCAAATCATTGCCACTATCTGATGGCCCCCTTCAAGCCATACAACTTTTATCTGAAACATTTTTTTGATTTTTCATTATTTTCCGAAATATTTGAGTGGATCACTTAAAATGGCCCACCCTGTAGTTGCGTCTCGCTTTTTACTGTAATTTACATACGAGACGAAAGACGATAAAGCGCGGAGAAAATAATCAACAAAATATTATTTCACCATCTTATTTCTCGTGCGGTTTTAGGCTTTGCTGTACCTGATACAACTGTTGGATCCCATCGTGAAGGGGGACTACGTTATCGCGTATTTCCACACTCTTACAGCCAGCAGCAATTACCCCAGTTTGCACTGGTTGCGCGAAGTCTACAATGTGCTTCCCTACAAGTAAGTTATACGCCTGATATTGAACGCATTGAATTTATTGATCCCATTTTAACATGATCGAATCACGTACCCCGCCTTTACTTAGTACACAAACAAAGTATTTACGTGATATAGGAAATTTGATGATAATTTTTTAATCGGATTTTATGTATCAATAAATTTTTACAAAATAATAACAAAATTATTATTATTATCTGCTATACGATTAGTTTGATGCGATAATTTTTTTTCAAAAGATTGATGTAATATATTGTATGCTTTGACATATTTTTAAAAAGGAGAAATATTCTCTTTATATCTTAATATTATTTATTAAACAATTCGATTTTATGTGTGTGTGTGTGTATCAAAAATATATTGTATATAAAAATATTATCTAATAACGGAAGTTTGTAAAATTAACATTTCGCGAGAGGTAACAAAGTTAAATTATTTATATATATTAGGTGCATAATCAAGTTCTCGCCGTTTTTTTTACTTGAAAAATGCATTTATTTTAATAAGAAAATGAATTAATATATTAATCAAAATATAGTCCATTGTTTTCTATGACTTTTTCCCATCTTTTTTACAAAAATTGGATTCCGCGACGATAGAACGACTTGTTTTTTTAAACAATCCATTGATCGGCCCATTTTTGGACTTCTTCGTAATTGGAGAAATATGTATCGACGAGCGCGTGTTGCATTGATCGGAAAAGGTGGTAATCCGATGGAGTCAAGTCTGGAGAATAGATTAGGTGCGGAGAACTTCGCATTCGAGCTCCAATAGTGTTTCTTTTATAATTCTCGCAACATAAGATCGCGCTATCATGCAAAAGAATTACTTTACGTCGATTACTGGCCTTTTTCGCATCAATTGGTATAATTGTTGTTATAATTGTTGTGTGTAGCAGTCAGCCGTGACTGTTCCAGAAATCAACCGAACTTCAGCTGCAGTTTTATTTAAATCAAAGTAGTGAAGAAGTACATGTCGAAAAACAATTTATCATGTTCCATTTTAAATCGATTAAAAAAATCTCTTCCAAAAAAATGAATCTTTGCGCACTCAATTTTATTGACAAATGCCTAACTTCACTACATTTGCAGCTAGAGCCATCTAATTATGAGCGGCGGAAACTTAGTTATACTCTTAATATATTACATATACAGGGTGTCAGGACTAACTGTTGCCAAAAAAAAGTTTTTGTAGCTTACCTCGAGAACTTTTCAAAACACTATAATAAAATATTTTTTCATCGAGTATTTTTCGAGTTATAAGACTTGAAATCATTTCTTAATTTTGCATAAGTCATAAAATATCTAATAAAATATTTATTTTTTTATTATCTTAATACTTTTATGTACAAAATAATGAAAGAAATTGGTGCAAAGAAAACATAACTGTTTCGAAGAAAAAATATGTAATTTGCAATTAACAATTACATATTTTTTTTCGAAACAATTATGTGTTTTCTTTATACTAATTGATTCCTCTTATTATTTTGTACATAAAAGTATTAAGGTAAGATAATCCAAAAATGAATATTTTATTAGATATTTTATGATTTATGTAAAAATTAAGAAATTATTTCAAGCCTCATAACTCGAAAAGTACTCGATGAAAAAATATTTTATTATTTTTGTTATTTTGTTTTGAAAAGCTCTCAGGATAAGCTACAAGAGCTTTTTTGACAACAGATAGCCCTGACACCCTGTATATTAAATTGCATTCTCTTTAAATATAAAATCTAATTTTTCACAATATTGAATTAATTAAAAACTGACATATCAAATTACAGACATTCTAGTTACGCATTGGCAAAATTGCATGGAATTGTTATCTCTCGTAATTTGATAACTTTGTTTGTAGAAACTTGATAGTGATCTTGAAACAAGATTTCTTTTACAGATATAAGAAGAATCTAAAACATTTTTACATTATCCATCCTACCTTCTGGACCAAGGTTAGTACACCAACGTCTATCGCGTTATATAATTGCATGTCGATATGATTTAAAAAAAAATATTACGCTCAACAAACATGTTAAAATGCAAAAGCAGGCTGAATGTTATTATTACATTTCCCACGTTTATGCTTCATGACGAATTATCTTTGTAACGATCGTATCCGATTTCCTGACTATTCATAGTTCGTTAGTAAATATGCTTGCGCAATAATTTTATAATCATTAATGGAATCATATCAAAAAATAAGTTTAATGCGATAATTAAAATTGTTGATAATAACTTTAAATATTATTATGTCTTTGCACTTTTACTTGCCTTCTTTTATTCCTTTCGCAATTTTATATGGAAAATAGTTTTCAATTTTCTTGAAACAAATGGAATCAATTATTCACGTTACAGATGATGACGTGGTGGTTTACGACCTTCATGGCCCCAGCTATTAAACAGAAGGTTCACAATCTGCCCGGAGTGGAATATCTTTATGAAGTTATGCCGCCTGACCAACTTGAGATCCCAGCGTACATCACGGAATATGATATGACGGTAAAGCAAAGCAAATTATGTGTTTTTTAAATGCGTTTTTGAAAGAAATTCTGGAAAGAAGTCTCATTTGTTTGAACGTCATTTTCCTTTACAGATAAATGGCTTGAGGTACTATCAACCGGTCTCGTCATCGCCATCAACATCCACGTAACTCGCAGATAATCGAGATGAAAGCAGCGAGGCGTCAAGATCGAGGCCGAATCGAATGTTCCGCGCGTTCTTACAATTAACTGCTCGTATAATTACAGTGACATCGGTGCGACACTTAAGCGTGAAAGCCGTACGCATAAGATTCGTGATTGCCGGTATATCTCGCCGAATTTCGGCAATGATAAGACGAAGAGCACGACGTTGTCTGGATACGGTAACCCGTGTATTCGAAAAGGTAATCCGTCTCCGCAATATCCCGAAGTCGATTTGTCCAAGTGCCTCGTGATGGATCGCTTATAGCAAGAGGAAGGACAAAAAGGACGATCGGCCCCGCGCGCGAATATTAATACGAATATTAATACAAAATCAAGAAACCACTGCCCGCCTGCTTTTGACGTTGATCGGTTCTTTTTACTCGTATACGCATGCGGGTTTTATGTCCCCAAGAAAGTACAGAGATATAAAACTTGGTATTGGACAATCCGCGTTAAGATAGGTAACCTCGAGAAAACTGGACCGACCATGTACGCTATTAGAGGTGTACTACTAAACAGCGTATCCACCTCATCCAGTAATAGAGCTAATAAATTACTATTCGCTTAGAGCGAACATCGGCTGCCAAAACATCAATAATCAGTATTTTCATCATCGTCGTCATCGTCGTCGTCGTCGCACGCAAAATGAAATTCGAAAGCTGAATTATTAATCTTGCCCTTGTACATATTACGTAATTCGTGGCAGATTCTTAGCTTAGTATTGTCTGCGAAAGCAGTAGGATGGATGAAGGATGGTATTTGACGACGCATTAGAATTAAACGTTGGCTTAATACAAATCGTCGATCGCTTTCCGTTATCTTCTTATATCAATCGTTAACGAGCGATTTGATTATTGTATATTGTCAATATTTTATTAAGTCATATCGTTGATAATGAGATCGTGCTACGCTGCCGCCATCGTCGCGCCGTATAGTCGCGGTATTTTCGATATATACTAATAATAAATCACATCTCTCTCTGCTACGAACAAAGAGCGGCTGGATGTTTTACTGTGATGTCATGTCTTCGACGCTCAGCAAATTTTATTTATTTTCAAACGCCGATCTCTCCTCTTATGGAGACGTCAACGCGAAATACGGAGTAACGCTTACGCGGAATGTTAGTGTTGAGCGTCGAAGTCGTACGTACGGGACAGTCCTAGATTAGAAAAAGCAATAAATTTAAGAGCTTGCTCGCGATGTATTTCGGGAGGAAAAAAAATCGTTATCCCAGTTGTTAACCATTTTTAGCGATTAAAAGATATAAATTAAAGAAGTTAAAGGAAAAAGACCCGCCGTTAATCGCATCGATTAGCCCATTTTTCACGTTCACCAAATATCACGAATATTCTCTTTCCGCCTCCTCCATTCGCGACAAATATATCGCGTCCTTCTCCGCGTCCTCATTTTTTATTCTTCGTCGATTAATTTTTAGCGCAAGACAAAAAAAGCGATTTCGCGTTTAAATCAGCCGCGGACGTGCTGAGAAGGCGCAGTGGGTTAATTGACCATGCTACCTCCGCCGAAGATACGATCGTTTGTGTGATCGAATGTATAAACGTTTATACGGATCGAGATTTAAACACAGTTATGAAATTAAAAAAAAAAAAGTGCTATTCATAATCGCGTTGTCGTTGGCTGCATTCAGAAAGCGCAACCAAATAGTGCGATTGTTGAGTTTTCTGAACGTTGTTTTCGCAAAGAGGAAGTAGTATTTTTTTATGTTATCGTATCTACACATGTCTATGTTTTGCAAAGATTTTCAATATGGTTCGTGTTGCGAATAGTCGGAAAAAAGATTAACTTCGTACTATTCGGAGGGGGCCAATGGAATCACGGAATGATACGAAAAATAGGCTATTTTCTGCTTTTATGTTTAATGACCTCACTGTCCGTCCCTGACAATCGAGTTTAATAGGTAACGACAAGATGCAACATCATTCGGAGAAATCATTGTTATCCCTTATATATTTTATATTAATGTCGTTACTTTATCATTTAAAATTTTATTAAAAGGAAATCTATTTGAGCAGATTTTAAAATAAAAAAAAATGTTAAAAATTAATTTTAAATATGAATGATTATTGTTATTCAGAAAATATATTGTTATCTTTGAGACAAGTTTGTATGTGACAATAGAACTTAATTGACGGATATGATTAAAATATTTAATATATGTTTTGTGTCGATTATATTAATTCATATATTATATATGTTAAACAACTGACAGTTGAGTCTATGCTTAAGTACTTCGACAAGTACTTATTTGAAGATTAAAAAGATTCTTGTATAATTTTGTTAAGGTCCTACTCTAATGATTAAATGATATTTTTATCTGTTACATGCACAAAAATATGTTATTTTAAACGAACGTTTAAGAACTTGTTACAAATTCGCATACTTTTTTTCTTTATTTAAACTCGGCTGCTGAATGTTGAATCTTTTCGCATTATATCAAGCAGAAGATTTACATCACAAATTTTTATTTTAATATCTTTCTATAATATTTATATGGAAATTTAAGAAAGATACAAATGAGAATATACATTATATAATTTAAAAAAATTATTGTCTTGCTAATTCATAATCGTGCAATTCCGTTGAAGTGATAATATACGCATCGTCAATTTTGAATATTTCAATGTCGGATTAGTAAACCAACTAGACTAGGACTTTAACAACATTAGTCAATTAGCTGATAATACCGCATTTGAAATACACGCGAATGTGTGCGAAATGTGTGTACGAGTTCGTTTCTCGCACTACGAGTTAAATTATCTTTTTTCACAAAAAATAACTAGTTTGTTATTTTATTTTATTATAGCTTCTCTTTGACATAATTCATTGCGGCTGATAGAAAAAAAGAAGAGACTAAAATCTTAGACTTTTATTATGATAATTATTAGTATTTTTTTCATAATATAATAATCTATTATAAGTCTATTTTAAGAATTTTTTAGACAAACTAAACTATTAAATTTTAATTTGTAGTAACAATTCTATTCAAACTTAAAGATTAAATTGATTGCTTCTAAACTTTTACGTTATAATTTTAATCATGCCAAAAGTCATATATATAACTATGATCAATGGTGAAAAAAGCCAATCGTGATCGTGTGTGGAGATGATGCTTCGTTATCGTGCGCATGTTATGATTAAAAGGAATGTGAGAGAATATTGTTCAAAATATTAATCATACATTTCTGAATTTGTTTCAGCTCTAGAAAAAGTACTGAAACAAAAAAAAAGAATCAATCTTGTAATTATTAATTACGCTAAGCTTAGTTATTTTTTTATATAGTAATTAGTGACATGTTATATTTGGGTTATAAATGAAATGTAATTTTGTTAATTTTACCACATTTTTTCTCTCTATAGTTTGTACTTAAGAATAGATTGTTATTGAAATGTAATAAATCCTATGCGATTTATCGTTTATTGTTTTCTCTTGATGTCGATGCACTTCTCCGTTGTATCTTTTTTTATAGAATATAATAAACGTTATTTCGATAAAACCTATATGATCTTATGCGTTTTACTTTGCTTGCTAAGTCTCTCTTAGACCAGATTGTTGACCAACGTTATTTTAGCTTTAAGCGAGACTTAAATATATGTATATATCTTTATCTTTTTTTCAAAATAAATAAAGACATACATATATTTAAGTTTCGCTTAAAGCTAAAATAATGTTGGTGCAACCAGGCCTTACAAATGCTTTATAACTTTGTGAACAATTTCGACAATGCTAATGCTTTCTAGAACATTAAATGTTACAATTTCATCTTATTTTTATTCGGATTTTTTATTCCTTCCTGCAAAATTGTAAATCTTACCTTCTATATGTAAATTTTAATCCAGGATTAAAATAATTTAATAATCTGATTTTTGATACTATCTTAATAATCTTTTAATATATATTATTTAATAATTTTTAATAATTTTTTAATAATATTTTAATAATTTTGTTCCTTTTCAACTTCTACTTTCGAAGTTTTAAATACGCGGTCAGGTTTGCTTCAAGACTTCCAACGTTGGAATCGTGATTATACTATACTACTACTATAGTGTGTGTTCATACGTACATATATAGGATGTATCATTTTAAGTGATGCAAATGAAATATCTCAAAGTAAAAGAGATTGGAAAAAATGTTTCAGACAAAATTGTTTGACTCGAAGGGGAACATAAGATGATGCGAATTATTTCGAAGAAAAAATATGTAATTTGCAATTAACAATTACATATTTTTTTCTCAAAAACAACAATTTGTTTTCTTTACAACAATTGATTCCTCATTATTTTGTACATAAAAGTATTAAGGTAAGATAATCGAAAAATAAATATTTTACTAGATATTTTACGGTTTATGTAAAATTAAGAAATTATTTAAAGCTTCATAACTCGAAAATTACTTAATGAAAAATAACTTAATTATAATGTTTTGGAAGGTTCTCGAGGTTTTCAAGCTCGAAAAGTACTGAAACATTTTTTCCAATCTCTTTTACTTTAAGAGATATTCAGCTGTATCATTTAAAATTATACACCCTGTATACGCACAAAGTTCAAAGAATGTGTTCTTTAGACTCTTCTTTCCGGCAAAACTCCCAACAGTAAGGCGTATGACGCCGTGTTGAACGTTCTGTGGAAGATATTGAAGATATTGAAGAGATATATTACACTACACATACATACAAATAGATCACCCGCACTGTATTTCGTCATTTCGTCTACAAAAAGCAGTCTATCTAGTTGTGTTTCTATCTGGCACGTAACAAAGGAGAGCGTGAATCTGAGAAATTGTACATCTACCGATAGTTGCGAGATCTTCCACAGGAAGTAAGTAAATTTCGAAAAAGTATATTCGAACGAAATCATAGTGATTATACTGTTTGAATAAAGTTTAAAATACAAACATTCAAAATTTAAATTCAAAGTTTGAATGGAATAAATTTTAAATTAATTCGCACAGCCAAGAAAATGTTCCAAGATTCAACTGTTTAAATAATTAAGATATCAAAGGAAATTTGAATGCAAAAATAGCGTTTTATTCCAGAAGAGAATAAACAGTATCATTTTATTTTTTTAATTAATTTACTAAATTTTTATTAAGTTTATTTTACTATACCTGTATTTATATTATTGTACTATTTTACTATGTATTTACCTGTATTTATATTATTATACTATTTTACTATTATATTATTTATCAAATTCTTCGGATATCTAATCTACAAACTTAACAATGCAAGAGAAAGATTAAATTGAAGCAGAAAGTTTCAAACTCTTCAACTGCTCGATTGTGGGAAAGTTTTAAGCATAAGTTATTAATTATAAATTTTACTACTTGAAAGTTTTTAATTTTTTCTTCTTTCACTCACAACAATTGACAGAATTTGTATTTAGAATATAATTATTTAAGACCAAGAAGAGCATAGATGATATTGCGTGTTTTATAAATTTATAATTTAAAAAAAACCAATATCTAAAAGTCATGGACGTAAGAAATACAGGACAGAGTGTATTGCTGCGGGGATGAAGCTCAAAGGGTGAGGGGAAAGAAATGTCTACTGCAACGGAATGAGGCATGTAAGATGGCGATGGATATTAATTTCACGGAGTGTGATATTTTTGAATTCCTTAAAACGGAGAAATTCTCATGTAAAAGAAAAAGAATAAAATACATATTATATGTTTGTATATACAGGGTGACCCATTTTAACTTAGGCAGCCAAATAACTCGAAAAATAAGCACACTACGAAAAAATGGTTAGAATCAAAATTTCGTCATTTCGAGGGGGACGTACAATGACGTTAAAATCAGCCCTCCCCATCCCTCCCCCTGGGCGGTGAGGGGGGGCAAGTTTGAAATCTTAAATGGAACCCCCTATTTTTCATTGCATATTCTTGTAGCTTATCTCGAGAGCTTTCCAAAACACTATAATTAAGTACCCTTTTATTAAGTACTTTTTGAGTTATAAGGCTTGAAATAATTTCTTAATTTTACATAAACCATAAAATATCTAGTAAACCATTCATTTTTCGATTATCTTATCTTCATACTTTTATGTACAAAATAATGAGAGGAATCAATTGGTGTAAAGAAAACACATAGTTGTTTCTAAGAAAAAATATGTAATTTGCAATTAACAATTCCATATTTTTTCTTAAAAACAACTGTATGTTTTCTTTACACCAATTGATTCCTCTCATTATTTTGTACATAAAAGTATGAAGGTAAGATAATCGAAAAATGAATGGTTTACTAGATATTTTATGGTTTATGTAAAATTAAGAAATTATTTTAAGCCTTATAACTCAAAAAGTACTTAATAAAAAGGTACTTAATTATAGTGTTTTGGAAAGCTCTCGAGATAAGCTACAAGAATATGCAATGAAAAATAGGGGGTTCTATTTAAGATTTCAAACTTGCCCCCCCTCACCGCCCAGGGGGAGGGGTGGGGGGGGCTGATTTTAACGTCATTGTACGTCCCCCTCGAAATGACGAAATTTTGATTGTAACCATTTTTTCGTAGTGTGCTTATTTTTCGAGTTATTTGGCTGCCTAAGTTAAAATGGGTCACCCTGTATATATATATATATATATATATATATATATATATTTATATATATTTTATATATCATATACATATATTTTATATATTTTAATACACTATTTTTTTATTTATAATTGAATAGAATAAAATGTTATAAAATTTGTTACATTTTTTGAATAAAATGTATTATATACTCTCTTAACTTATTTAAAATATGATAAAATATAACAATAAACTTTTGAAAAATTTTGTTAATATTTTTAAATAAATTTTTTAATTGTCTAATCAATTACGCGCATATGCAAAATGCAGCTTGGCTTCGTAAAAACTGCATTTGCGCATATAATATGTGATTGATCAAACATGTTAAAAAAAATTAAATAAAAAAATTAAAAAGTTAAATATTTATCTTCTATTATTGTCCCTTAAATAATACTACTATTTTGTTAAATTGTTGCCTTATACTTATATTGTTTTCGTTATCAGTTATATTGCGCCCTATAAAGTAAAGTCTAATTTGAATGCATTTAGAAGCAACTGTTCTTATTAAATGAACCACATGATTTTGTAACGGAGTTTGATCGCAGGAATGCTGTTCCAAACTATGAAATACATTATTGTTCCCAATAAAACGATGCAACACTTGATGTAAAAAAAAGCTTCTGACATTTGTTTTAATAAACGCTTGCCGCCACTTTCGCGAAGAGCAAAACGAATAACAGTTTCTGCTGTTTTACAAAACAATTACATCATGCGAAGGGAGTGTCAATCCTTCACGATTTTTAATATTAATAAAAGAGCATTCCTGATATGTTTCATTTCCATAGAGAGCTCTGACACAAATATCACAATGTATCACATTTTTCAAATTGAGAACAACAAAATCAGCAATTATTCGAGTAGAATATTGAGAAAGTTGAACTGTATCTGGCAGAAATGGTAAATCTAAATTATTGTTATTAGCTTCACAACTGCTATCCTCGAATAAACGTGATGTTGGAATCGATTGATTAATAATATTTTTAGGATTCGAAAAAATATATAAAATTGCAATAGCATCCAAAGAGATGCAATTACCGATTTTTATATCTGCAATCTCAGTATGAATAAGAAGTTTTTTGTAAGCGGCTTTAAATTGTCGAACTGTTGGATTATTGTTGCAACCTCCTTTAGCTCTTATGCAAAAAATAATTCAATGTGATCTTGGCTAAATTTGTAGCATGGTATGTACTGTAAAATGTCTTGACTAACAACTAAGTTATTGTAAATTTCTAATAAACTTTTGATACACATCATAAAACCAATCACTCCACATATTTGCTTCTCGACTGAATTAACAATGAATTATTTTTTGTTATTCGCAATTGTGCAAGATAATTATAACCTTTATTTAATTTGTTAATAATAATGGAGCTATTATTTTTATGCAATGGTTGTTTAAATCCTCTTTGTTTCATGTTTATTGAATTAAAAATATCAAAAAGATCATTTATTAATCGTATGAATCGTGTTGGTGTTGAATTTGCAAATTCGGAATATTATAAATCATTTTTACAAAAATCTATTGCATCAGCTACAGAGGCACTGAAGATTTGCGCTGCAAGTTTTACTTTCATTTTTTGTGTTTGATCATTTACATGCTGTATTCTTAACTTGTTGGCTAAATGTAATCCTTCATTTATTTTGATTTCATGAAGCTTATATTCCCATTAAGCAAATATTCCCATCGGATAATATTACCCTCGTAATCAATTATTGATTTATGATTTCCAAGATAATTACGTAATAATTTAAGAGCATGGCAAGGATCCAGAAATACTACTACTTTTTGTTGTGTTGTTGGATGAAAGAAATAAGTCTGAAAAGATGTAGTAGACATTAAATTGCATCCTAAAATATTGCACATTGTTAAATTAACGGGAGCTCCATCAAAAGTTAGTGCTATTATATTTATATGATGCTCATGCAAAGTTTTTAATGCTTCAATAACTAAATTAGATTTCTGCTCGGCATTCAAATCGTTTATCAAAAAATATCCTATGGAAATTTTCAAGGACTGATTTATTACATTTACTAAAAACACTAATGCTTCTTTAGCTATAACGTTACCACAATCAATATCAGGTCCTAAATCGACATAGCCTATAAATTTTTGACCATCATATTCGACATGTCGTCTTATGGCCATTTCGTCAAATATAAGAACACCGAAAAGAGGATAATTAACTAGTTCGGCGCGTTGTTTAATTGACTTTAATGCTTCCGCATTAAAACCCGGCTCACCGTTAACTAATTTATACCATTTACAAATTGTCTTAGGATGAGGCAAACATGTCAACATCAAATTTTTTTCTAACAAATGTGTACGCTCGTGGCGAATAAAAATGTAATGTTAGAGCAAACGATCTTATCTCGGGCTCGTTGTTTATGCATTAATGTTTTTTTAATTTTATTATTTTGACGCAGTAATAATTGTTTATTGAACGTACCTATGTTATTTACAATATCCAACTGTTGCGAATCAAGAAAAGTTTTCTTCTTCAAAGATGTCAATACATTTTTCAAATTTGCAATACATTTCGTGGATCTTCTCTGTTTTTGCTGCAAAGATCTTATCTTCTTGATAAAATATTTTCTTACATTAATCAATGCAGTTTTAAGTATTTGTTTCCTTGGTGTATTTTCCGAAAAAACGCGATGAAACAATCCTGTTTAACTTTGCGTGGTGTCCTTGATTGGTCTATATCAATCGCTATATAAAAATATACAATAATTTAATGAAATTAATTAAATATCTATAATTATTTGTTTCAAGGCTCAAGAAGATAGACTAATTATTTTAATAAGAAAGAATAATTACTTTTAGAAGTGCTAGGAATACTAATGGTACTATCCATCACTGTTCCAGAAAAATCAAAATTATCTTCTATAGTATATCTTTAGTATATCTTTCTGTATATCTTTCTGTAAAGAATCATTATTTAAATTATTTTCTGTTATGTTATCAATTTTATAACAATCTGTTCTTATTATTGAGTCTTATAAACATACTTTGTTCTGCGTCAAGTATTTTTTCATGTCTTGGGGTCAATATTTTCTTGATTTGTTGTGTTTAATAATTTCTGTTTTTTTTTACCCATTTAAACCCATGCTTTCTAGCCATTTTTTTCGTTTTTCTGGGTTCATAGATATTCTATAATTATACAATAATTAGTATTAAAAATTGTAACGTATAAAATAGTTATAACATATGTAATTTGATTGCAATAAAGCACATACTTATAAAATGTAATTTTTTTGTCATGAGATTGTTCCCATTGCAGTTGAGTTTTATTCTTCCGACTATTATTATTTCAGCTTTGACAGCCTTTTGCCCAACAATCCGGCATTATTATTAACAACACTCACTCGCGTTATTATTAATCACACGCGTTATTTTTTTACGAATATATTTAGAAATGATTCGCTCTGACACAGCGATTTCAGATGATAGATGTTGATTTCACGGAATCTCTCATATTTTACTCGATTCACGTCCGTGCGACGTGAAAATAGACGCTAAATCTGAGTCATCTAAGATGGCCGCGACAGTAAACCCCTTACCCCTCAGACTTTACTCCCCTCGTCTAAAAGAGTACTTTATGCTCTGTCCTGTATTTCTTACGTTCATGCTAAAAGTAGTAAGTACAAACATTTCGGTACCTTTCGGATTCTCTTCAGTATGACAATAATAATTTAATAGAACATATAAAAAAATTCTAGAATAAATAGATAATGATATAAAAATAAAACAAACGTGAAGTAGCACTGTACAGGTCGAATGATAAAATTATAAAAATAAACATCGATATCCCGATCGAGTCAGTGAAGGTAACCGATAAGATTTAAAACGTCAAATAAGATAAGATAATACGTCAAATTAATGCAAAATTTTTTTTGTTACGCAAGACGTTGTCTCTTCATTCTAAAATTCATACGATGTTAAAACATCATATTTCGCAAAAAACGATGGTCTGTTTTTTAACTTACAATACTGTTTAATGTTTAATTTACAATACTGTGTAATGTTTTAAAATTGTACGAATTTTAGAATGAAGAGACAACGTCTTGCGTTACAAAAATTTTGCATTAATTTGGCGTATTATCCCTTTCTAAAAAGTGCATGTTAAATTGATTACCGAAAGTCTCGAAGTATTATTGTCTCTTTTTGCGCGATGTCAATTGGTTCTTTTATTGCGCTCAATTCATGTTGTGAGCAGCTGTTATTTACGATTGTTAGAAATTTTGACAGCTTGTATGACAGTGAGAAATATATAATGAAAGGGAATAAATAGCGCGCGCGAAGCACGCGCTTTGCGTTGTCTAGTCTAGATTTAAGGTAGTTATACCCCGACTGCACCAGTTAATGTAGAGAATGACATAAAAAGTGCAAAAAATATATAAAATTTGTACACTAAAAATCTTAATAGGAGAAATACAATTCGTATTAAAACTATTTACACTGTAATACAAAATTATAATAACATGAACAAAAATTAATTGACTAATGCTCCACGTAGTGAAAATGAAAAGTTTAGACGTGGCAACATCGCGTTCTCTTAGTCGAGTTATAGGTTGGATATTTACTTTTCTCAAGTCGTTACATAACCTCTACCGTCGCGTTGCTCATGTAAAGTGTCATCGGTTAAAAATGCGTCAAAATAAATCTAAATAATGATCGATTTGATTCGAGCGCCACGCACGCGCCGCGCGGTCAGGCAACGTTGCCACGTGTACAATTCCTTCAGCAGTTGTTCATCGAGATACCCCGAAAATAGATTAATGTCAATTTTTGGATTAATATTACTCTACAACTGTATGGATGGCCCTTCCACAAAAAAAATATCCTCTTCATAAAGATTTTAACTAGTTTTGTGCGAATTTTGGAGTAAATTTCAATGTTTCGTCATTTACAAAAAATAAAAATAAACGTTTTGTCGTTGTCGACGCCATTTGCCCTATGTTAATCATTATGAAAAGTAAGAACTTTGACTGCGAATATCTAGAAACGAATATCTGTACGGGCAATCGATTCAAAATTTCACGTACGTGTTATTTACAACAAAAATAAATTTTGCTAAAAAAATCAGAAAAAAAAATTTTCAACATTTTGATTTTGGAGTACAGCTACCTTAAACTTATCGGTTACCTTCACTGACTCGATCGAAATAATCGATGTTTATTTTTACAATTTTATCATTTGACCTGCGCTATTTACAGTGCTATTTCCCGTTTGTTTTATGTTTATACCTTTATCTATTTATTCTAGAATATTTCTTTTATATGTTCTATTAAATTATTATTGTCATACTGAAGAGGTTCCGAAAGGGATCGAAACATTTGTACTTTCAGAAATTGGTTTCTTTTTAATTATAGATGTATAAAACATGCAATATCATCTGTACTCTTCTTGGTCTTACATAAGTCTTCCTTACTATTGGGGATTTATTATTTAGACCAATTATACACACACGTAGATTTATATATTTTTAATTTTTTGATCCTTGGTCATAATTATTTAGTTTTATATTGAATAGATAAAGTTTTCATGTGATTTTCGTATGATTGGAGATCAGTAACTCAAAACATGTGAGACACGAATGTCACAGTCGACACAAAAGATTTGATATCAATTGTGCGTCAATAAATCGCTTTCATTGTACAAACGAATGAAAGGAAAACAATGTTCAACAAAAGAATATTTAATTATTCGTCTTACTATATATTCGAAGTTTTTCACATAATAATTGGAGTAAATTGAAAACAACTGTTTAAAAATTAAAAAATTGATTTTTTACAATTAAAAGTTGATTATTCATGAGATTCAGTAATTTCCATAAATAATTGTGTACATAGAAATGTGTAAAAAAACAAAGTCAATTAGTAAAAAAGAATATGCGCATAAATTGGTATTCTAATATAAAAATATAATATAAAAATATTTTTACATAATTTATTACATGTCTATCTTTACAGGTGACTCTTTTTGTAACATTTTGGTCTCTTTTATGTCTATCTTTTTACAAGTGATCCTTTTATGTAATACGGTTTATCATTCTCCTCTAAAAACAATTGTTTTTATTGAAGTCATAATTCAAATATATTCGAACAATAGGTATTTTTTCTTTCACAACCGATATAAGTTTGATAACGATACATTCTAACTCTCCAATGTGCATGTGATAATCAGAGTTGCGTTCATTCACAGCGATGTAATCAGCATAACATTTTTATTTAGCAATGATTAAGACGTAAAATATTGTAAAGTAATTGTTTATATAATGCGATTGTGAAGTCACTATGGCATTGTTTCAATTTCTTATGAGAAATAAGTGAGTGCTTTTGTAGTAGGCCGAAGCGACACAATCGATTCCCGTCGGAAGAGATCGAGAAGAAAAAATACAATATGAAGTTTCTAATCGCAGGTGAGATATAGCGCAAAATAAAGTGGAAGGATTGGATCCTCTCCAATGATCTAACAATAAGTTTGAAACGAAACCCCGACGAGGAACATGGAAATTTTGGGTATAAAATTTGCGCCGTTAAACATACCTTTGGAAAGAAGGCTACAAACCTTGGTGATTGCGATATGGATTCTTGTTTTCCCATTCGGCGATTTTTGGGGATACATCATTACAGCCTATCTTTTACTCTACACACAAACATTACGTTACTTCATGCTACTGTATTTCCTCTGGATGTATTACGATTGGAACACTTGCGATCGTGGTGGCAGAAGGTAATATAATTTTATTAATTTCTTTGCCGGTCTTGAGACAATTCTGATATAAATTGTTGATGTAAAAACTGTTGTAGAATAAAAATTCTTTTCTATCGTTCTTTGACTCGAGATTATTAATCGATGCTCAATGATTATATGTAATAAATCTGTTGTGACACTTGTAGGCCTTAGGCGTAATTAAAAGAAATTTACCTTAAAATGAGAATCGTTAACGATTAAAGAATGATTATATCTTATATCTTATATTATAAATATATCTTATATTTCAGTTATTCGTGGATAAGTAGAATGAGAAATAACGTAGTTTGGCGTTACTTTTGCAATTATTTTCCGCTGAAGCTCGTGAAAACGGTCGATCTGGATCCAACAAAATCTTATCTTTTCATCTCCGTACCCCATGGGATTTTATCAGTGGGGGTAATAGGTTCATTTGCAACGGATGCAATAGGCTGCAGGAAGCTATATCCTGGACTAGACATACGCTTAATTACTCTTGATCAACACTTCAAAATACCTCTATTCAGAGAAATTCCTTATTCCTTAGGTAAAAACTCTTGGTGTTATTTTTCACAGTTGTACAATCTTTCATTTCAGATCTTTCAATATTCTATTGAATACTTTCAATATCGGTATAGCATATGTAAATGTATTTGAGAAAGAAAGATTTTACGATGCATCAACATGAAAGGCACATATGTGACATATGTTATAATTTTTCATGTCTCTAAAAAAATGCTCTGTTAACATCTATTTTAGACGGAATTAATAGAAGAAAAAAATTTTACAAGAGAAATGACTTAACATATCGTTATCGAAATAATTTTGTATTGCGAAGAAAAAATTATGAGAATTATTTAAAAAAAAAGAAAAAAAACGAAATCATTTTAAACGTTAAATATTAATTAATAAGACATTCAATATACATAATTAAGAGACAATAGTTCTCAAACAGGTTGTTGCGCTGCTAATGCGAAAAGTATCGAATATTTATTATCGACACCGGCAAAAAGGCCTTATACCGGAAGAGCTACGATACTCATCGTCGGTGGTGTTTCTGAATCTATGGAATCGTTACCAGGTACTTACCGTATCGTCATGAAAAAGAGAAAGGGCTTCGTGAAACTGGCTTTAAAACATGGGTAAGCGGCTAATTATTTTTTTCTACATTTTTAGATATATTTTCACATTAATCATATTTATTTGTATTAAATTGTATAGAATTATCGACATATAATACTGGACAGAACATGCGGAGAAATTTTTTTGTTCTTTCGTATTGAGAGACATAGAAAAAGAGAAGAAGTAGATGTGCCGGGGAACAGATCTCTCACTCTAGCCTCTTTTCATTGGTTGAATTTTGTCGAATGAGAAAGGGAACAGTACTGTATTCTTATAAGTTGGGATGTTTAACTTCATTATTATAGTTAACTTTATTATTATATATATATATATATATATATATATATATATATATGAAGAAACAACATATAAAAATGATATTTTATAGCATAATATTATGTACAAATAATTAATAATATGATCTCTGCTTATTTATTATGCAAAACAAATGGATTAAACACAGATAAGATATATAAGATTTTGAAGAGTTTCTTAATTCCATAGTTCCATGAGCCGTTACTACCCCTACATCGCCTTGTCTCTTTTCACGTCTGTCCATGATTTCAGTTCTATGTTCCGTCCAATACTATATATTGATACAATAAATCATATACTAATAGAATAAATCATATATTAGGAAAAATAAGAGAAAAAGAAAGAGAGAGAAAAAGAGTTTGAAGAGAACGAAAACATGATGATGTATACTGATAAGATCTGCTGATAAGGGCCGGTTCGACCAAACTCCAATTAACTCAATCGTTGATTAAAGGGTTGCCAATATGAAAATAATTCAGTGTGACCAATTGTATTTTTAACAATTTACAGAGAGAAGCCAATATAATTGTAGAAATACAGTATATTGTCAGAAATACAACGATTGATAATCGGAGTTTGGTCGAAGCGGCCCGATCTGATATGATATGAATACTGATACTGAACACGACTCGAATCTAATACAATTTTGTAATTTAGCACGCCGTTAGTTCCTGTTTTGTCTTTTGGCGAAACGGATTTATACAATCAAGTGTATAGTCCAGAAGGATCGACTTTAAGACGTATCCAGAATTACATTCGCAATGTCATAGGATTGGCGCCGGTCATTTTTTCGGGTAGAGGATTATTTCAATATTCGTTTGGTCTTATTCCAAATCGATTACCTGTCACCGTAGTCGGTAAAGTTCTCATTACATTTCATAATTCAATATATGTTATAACATGTATATATTAAATTTTCTTAATATTATCTTTTTTTATTCTCTATAAATTGTTATGTTTCCTTTCTTCATTTTAGTTGGCCGTCCACTCGAGCTGCCGAAAATAGAAAAACCCACAGCTGAGCAAATTGATGAACATCATAAAAAATTTATGAAACATCTAATTGAGTTCTTCGAAACGCAAAAATACAATTATATAAAAAATGCGGAAACAACTACTCTCGAAATTGATTTGTGATACACGCTCGGATATTATATCACCTAAATTATAAATTTGTCACTTTATTTGCAAATTTTTCAAATTATTTGTCATTTTCTTAAGAAGTTTAAAATATTTCGGGAAAACGAAAGTATTAGATATATATTTAATATATAATTTTATACACGGGGTGTCGCAGACAACCTGTATTAACCGAATATCTCAAAAACTGAACGCGGCAGACAAAAATATTTCAGACGAAAGTTGTAAGGTTTCAAGTAACGCATTACTTGGCGATATCAGTATGACCTTGAAGAGTGTTGTCAAGGTCACGTAAAGGTCACCTTGAATTCTGTAAATGGAAACCCCAAACTATAATTAAGTTAGTTTTCATTAAGTACTTTCCGAGTTATGAGGCTTGAAATCATTTCTTAATTTTACATAAACTGTAAAATATCTTGTAAAATATTCATTTTTAGATTATCTTACCTTAATACTTTTATGTACAAAGTAATGAGAGAAATCAATTGGTGTAAAGAAAACACATAATTGTTTCGAAAAAAAATGTAATTTGCAATTAACAATTAACAATTACATATTTTTTTTTAAAAATAACTATGTGTTTTCTTTACACCAATCGATTCCTCATCATTTTGTACATAAAAGTATTAAGATAAGATAATCAAAAAATGAATTTTATAAGATATTTTACAGTTTGTAATGTAAAATTATGAAATGATTTCAAGCCTCATAATTCGGAAAGTACATAATGAAAACTAACTTAATTATAGTGTTTTGGAAAGCTCTCGAGATGAGCTACAAGAATATGCAATAAAAAGTTGGGGTTTCCATTTACAGAATTCAAGGTGAATTCTGTAAATAGGTCATGACCTTTACATGACCTTGACAACACTCTTCAAGGTCATACTGATATTGCCATGTAATGCGTTACTTGGAACCTTACAACTTGTTAATTGTTAATTGCAAATTACATTTTATTGTTCGAAACAATTATGTGTTTTCTTTGCACCAATTGATTCTTCTCATTATTTTGTACATAAAAGTATTAAGGTAAAATAATCGAAAAATGAATATTTTACAAGATATTTTACGGTTTATGTAAAATTAAAAAATGATTTCAAGCCTCATAACTTGGAAAGTATTTAATGAAAACTAACTTAATTATAGTGTTTTGGAAAGCTCTTCAGATGAGCTATAAGAATATGCGAAAGCATATAGGGTGTCCCATCTAAAAAGTTGGAGCTGACCTTCACGTGACCTTCAGGTGGCTCTTCAAGATCAAACTAATGACACCATCTTATGTCCTCCTTGAAATCATACAACTTTTGTCTGCACAATTTTTTTGTATTCGGTTTACCAACGGAGATATTCAGGTGCATCGATTAAAATGGGCCACGGTGTATATATATATACATGCATACATACATATGATGATAGATTGGGTCAAATTCTAAGAAAAATAGTCCTCTACTTATTTTGCAAAATTCGCAATAATTATTAAGTAATAAGCAAAAATGTCTCGGCGCATGAGAAGCGGTAGACCGCACGCATCGAGCGGCGAGTGACAAGCGACACGCGACATATGATACCGCGCCGAACAGTATTAAAAAGTATTGTCTTTTCGAAAAAAATGTAATTTGCAATTAACAATTACATTTTTTTGTTCGAAACAATTATGTGTTTTCTTTATACCAATTGATTCTTCTCATTATTTTGTACATAAAAGTATTAAGGTAAAATAATCGAAAAGTAAATATTTTACAAGATATTTTACGGTTTATGTAAAATTAAGAAATGATTTCAAGCCTCATAATTCGAAAAGTATTTAATGAAAACTAACTTAATTATAGTGTTTTGGAAAGCTCTTCAGATGAGCTATAAGAATATGCGAAAGCATATAGGGTGTCCCATCTAAAAAGTTGGAGCTGACCTTCACGTGACCTTCAGGTGGCTCTTCAAGATCAAACTAATGACACCATCTTATGTCCTCCTTGAAATCATACAACTTTTGTCTGCACAATTTTTTTGTATTCGGTTTACCAACGGAGATATTCAGGTGCATCGATTAAAATAGGCCACGGTGTATATATATATACATGCATACATACATATGATGATAGATTGGGTCAAATTCTAAGAAGAATAGTCCTCTACTTATTTTGCAAAATTCGCAATAATTATTAAGTAATAAGCAAAAATGTCTCGGCGCATGAGAAGCGGTAGACCGCACGCATCGAGCGGCGAGTGACAAGCGACACGCGACATATGATACCGCGCCGAACAGTATTAAAAAGTATTGTCTTTTCGAAAAAAATGTAATTTGCAATTAACAATTACATTTTTTTGTTCGAAACAATTATGTGTTTTCTTTATACCAATTGATTCTTCTCATTATTTTGTACATAAAAGTATTAAGGTAAAATAATCGAAAAGTAAATATTTTACAAGATATTTTACGGTTTATGTAAAATTAAGAAATGATTTCAAGCCTCATAATTCGAAAAGTATTTAATGAAAACTAACTTAATTATAGTGTTTTAGAAAGCTCTCGAGATGAGCTACAAGAATATGCAAAAGGATATAGGGTCTCCCATTTAAAAAGTTGGAGGTAACCTTCACGTGACCTTCAGGAGGCTCTTCAAGGTCAAACTAATAACACCACCTTATGTCCCCTTTGAAACCATGTAACTTTTGTCCGAAATATTTTTTCGTATCTTTTAGATTTTACGAGATATTTCGATGTGTCAAGTTAAATGGGACACCCTGTATATATATATATATATATATATATATATATATATATATATATACATATCTATTTAAATTTATAAAAAATTATTAAATGCTTTTTAATCTTAAAGGTTTTAACAGCAATACGCTTTATGGTTTCTGGCAGTTATCAAAATGATATAGACCATAATATTTATTCAGTAATTAGTCAACCTGCTGTGAGCAGGTGTCTTAAAAACATTACAAATATTTTGAATAAACCTGAAATATTTAATGGATAAAATGTCCTTCAAATTTAGAAGAAGTGAAATTTATAAGATGGGTAAGTGTTAATATATGTATAATATCATTTAAAGGTTATTACAATATATTTTAACAATTTTTAGTAATATTAACTGCTGTGTCAATACAAATAAATTTATATTATTTCTTATTACACAATTTTTTACTTACGTTAATTGAAATTGATATTAAATATTGCTGTAAGTTTTTTAAAATTATATATTTTTATAAGAATTTTTAATGAATTATATACAGACCAAAAATTTATTAAAAAATCCATAGGTTTTGACAGAAATACCAATTTTCAGGAATTATAGGATGCATAGATTGCACTCATGTAGCAATAATTGCACTTCCTACACATCATCCACTATTTCCAGAACATATATATGTAAACAGAAAAGGTTACCATTCTATTAATGTTTAATTGGTAAGTTACAAATATATATAGTACTGTATAAAACAATATATTTGTATAAAATACATATTGTGACGTGGCCGTCCCGTCGCGTCTATCCGCCCCGGCAATTTTGATGGGGCGCGAGCCGAGTGGCCGCGCCAAAGGTCAAGAGAGAGAGAGAGAGCTACCGTACTCCCCGGAGAGACGAGCGAATTGGTATAGTTGCGTATAATATTAATTGTTTTTTTTGTATTTTTTATTTTTTTTTGTATCGAGTCCGGATCGAAGCACCTCATCACCGAAGAACAGGAGAGAACAGCATCGCCTCTCCACGACAGCTAAAAACGACGGCTAAAAACGACAGCCGAGGGAAATTCATAAGAGCCGAGGATCCTGGCCCAGAGAGCCCTGCATCGTGAACCCGGGCAGGGGAGAGCAGCATCGCCTCTCCACGACCGCCGGAAGCGACAGCCGTTGCGACAGCCATCCTCCAGGAGAGGATAAGTCCGTGAAGGACCTCACCCGGGCCATACAAGGGCCCGCGACAGCATTTAGATTTGGCGCTATTTCGCGCGGGGCGCGATAATGCCTCGCGTGGCGCGCGAGGCGCCAGGACCTCGCGCGTGTCGGCCGCTACTTGGCCGGGGGTCCGCGCATCCCCCTGCGCGGCCAACGACCCCGCCATCGACCCTGGATCGCGGGATCCAGGGCTCACTTTGTCGCGGCCGCTCGACTGAAACAGTCAAAAGTATTAGTCGTATTGTTTTATGCGCTTGTGAACCTCGCTGACGAGACGAAACACCGAGGACGAGGCCGAGGATCATCCCCGCAGACAGGAGGAGCTCCATCGGTGAGGTTGCCCACGAATTATTGTGCACCGCGTAATTAATTGTGTCCGCTCGCCGGCCGTTCTATCGCCGTCGCCATTGCGGCGTTTATCGCGACCGCTTGAGCCTTCTGCCGAGTCGGTCGAATTTTGTGGTTTTCGGGCGACCGGAGATAAGCGGCCGAGGAAGCGCGGACATTTGCGACGGAAGTGCGTATCGATAGGGTAATACTTGTCTCTCCGGGTTTTAGGGTGAGTAATACGCGTAGCGTTCGGCCGTCGGATATCGACCGCGTGAGTCGTAAATCGCGAGAAATGCGTAGTTCGCACGGGCTGTCTTTTGGCTGTCTACGCCGCGTCTCGCACCTCTGAAATATGTCTCAGAGCGAGTCTGTGGATCGTAATTAGTCGTGATCAATGAGTCTTCGTGTAGTATCATCGTCGTTCGTGAATATTGCGTGAATCTGCGTATTATTGTCGCGTCCATTGTGTGCGTGCGA